CATCACGTGTGCCCATCACAATATAGTAATATAAAGAGGTCCTTTTATAAAAGTAAAGAACTATCTGGATTAACTACTAGTTTTTGTACTAGTCCTAATCGGAAATCAGTATAACCGATTAATATATATTTCCAGGAGCTCGTAAATAATCTCTAGAACCTCAGAAATATTTATATAGATTTCTTATATAAATATTTATTAAATACTTTCTATATAGCTATTCAGATTATTCTAATACGAGATCTGACAGGTAGTATTAATTTTATAGGGTAGCGCCTTGGTACTTTGAATTAAACTAATTAGAATACTCAGATCCCAAACGAAATCGCAATTACTGGCTAGCCCCTATACCTGGGGTATAATTACCCTTCCTTCTCGCTTACTTAGCCCCGATCTGATTAGATGATTTTTACGTCTATTATCCAGATCGTATTAGTAAAACCACCTCTTAAGATACTGGAAGTTTACGTTAATTAAATAAATAATCGATTAAATGTTTACCAGGATAGATTAATGGATCTTGGGGACAAGATCCTAGGAGGGGGGCATAGTTGTAATATGTACAGAGTCGTACGTAACTTAAGGGCATGTGACGAACCTCGGATATCGCAGGTATCGATTAGGGAGTTCGGCAGCCCTTCGATATCCCAACCAACCACTATTTACATCATATGCATTAGGCTTATAAATCACTAATTATATGTATGCCATCGGGGCCTCCTATTTAGAGGGGGCTTCCCTGGACCTCACAGGAGGGACAGAGATTAGTTCTGTACTGAATTTAACACTGTGGTTTCACAACACACTGATTCATTCTATTGTCTTATTGCCTACCAACAAACACCTTACAAAATCACATGATTTCCACGTGACTATTCATGAATATTCATGAATATATATTCTACTCTACTCAATTTTTTTGGAGTTTTACGCTACTCATATTCTATTCAAGACTACTCATGAATATTCATGAGTAGTATGAATACCTTGAGTATTTCTTGCTCACACTGGTCCTGCGTCCAGCAAGCTGCCGGGTGCATATTCCACGAAGTCGAAGATAGTACTTGTCGATCTCGAGTTGCGTGACTGGTAGAGCCTCGATGGATACTGAGCGGAGCTTCCGCCGCCTTGCAGGTCGTGGATCCTCGGCATTGACCAATCCGAGGTGCGATGGCTCAGCAGAGCGGCGAGAAGGCCTCGGGGAGGTGGGAATTAGTAGCCGATGACGACTTCTCGTACTTCTCGAAAGCTAGTAACATATCCCTTTCAAGTTCAGAGACGTTTTCCTTCCTCACTCTCCTCTCCACCGTCCTTATCCAACAGTTCAGGCAGAGAGTAGGCCCCGGCTCTAATGTGCTTCGCGTGGTTCCATCATCTATCTTACATTTTCGCTATTTTCCGGAGAAAACGGACGCTGTCACGTGAATGCGTCTGTGCGGGAACACCAAACTTCGGGAATACCAAAACTTTAGGCCCGCTCCATAGTTCAGGCTCTATTTTACAGGCTTTACAGGCTCCACAAGCTCTATAGACTTCACAGGTTCTATAGGCTCCCTTTTACAAGGTTTATAGGCTAATTCACAGGCTTTACAGGCTCCGCAGGCTCCCAATGGATACCCTTCCTTTAAACCGGCTACGCTGCTCCGGGTGCAAGTCCTTTCGCCCAATTACAAGCTTCCCTTTTCACGAGAACGGATATCGACTTTGTACTTGCGAAATCTGCCTTATACGAAAGCACGACCAATACCGTAAAGCTACGGGCGAGTTTATACAAGAAAGGCACGACCGGCGGGTCTTATGGGCGAAGAGAGCAAAGCTACGGGCACAAAAGCGTGGGATATGGGATCCTGTGGACTTGGAGAAGGCATTAGCAGAAGGAGAAGCCCAAAGGGAGGCTTGGGATGAGTGGAGGGAGTTCCAGGCTCGATTATAAGACGACGAATGGCAGTGGGATAAAGAGGAGAAGCAGTGGGAGATAGAGCAAGAGAGGAAATGGGAAGAGAATGATCCGGTAAGAGCTTGTAAATAGTAAGTAGCGGGGCTAATATATAGTAGTTTACGGACGAGTATAAGAGGGGGAAGCAGGAGCAAGAGCAAGAGCAGGAGCAGGAGCAGGAGCAGGAGGAAGCGTGGTACTGGCTTACGGCTAGCCAATATTTGGAGATATAAAGGGAGAAAGGGCTTGCGGATAAAGAGGATATACCTATGGATAAAGAAGAAGGACCTGCGAATAAAGAGGAGGAGCTTGCGGACGAAGAGGTATCTGTAAATCAATTTACAGACGAGCCTATGGCCCGTAAGTAGGAAAACCTGTCCGTAAATACTTACTAACCCTTTCCCTTAGAATACTGCTCTAGTTATAATCAAAAACGCCCCCCTTCTGAATTTGGACACTTCTTTACGTACTCTATATGCCGAAAACGGAAGCAAAAGTCAAACCGTCGATATGGGATTCAAAGAAAGGAACAAGCAAGGGTATTGAGACTTGAAAATAAGCCTATAAGAGACGAGCTTTAAAGACATATACAAGTACGTACTAGGGAATCGGGCGAGCAGGAGCTTAGAGAGGTAAGGGCAAGAGAACGCTACGGGTGTCTTATAAAAGACGATAGAAAATAGCCTTTAGAAGTTAATAATTATTTAAATAAAAGCCTTTAAAAGACTGTACGCTTATATGTTATATTAGTACGAGCTTGCGAGTGCAATGTGGCTATAATTAAAGAAAAGGGAGGGGGGAAATTAAGAGAGAGCTTAATAAGTAAAAGTAAGGCTTAAAAGGGCCTATAAAAGGGGAGGGAGAGCTTTGCAAGTATAATTAAGGAGTATAGTAATTTATAAAAATAGAGAGAGAGCTTTATCTAATTAATCTCGAATCGAGATCAGGGCAAAATTAAAACTGGCCCCGGAGCTTGTATAGGGCCGCCAGGTTTTAATTTTAGCGAAACGGCCCAGATCTCGTACCTATATACCACGCCTATATATTATGCCCCCTCTCCCTGTGCCTCTATTATTACTTCAAATATTTCCTCTCTTTAATTCTTCTCGCTCTTTTTATAAGTATAAGGGTAAGAGAGGGGAGAAGGGGAGGAGGGGGGGAGGGCAGGGCAAGGGGACGATACTAAAAATTTACGTTACAAAGCACTAAATTTTTAGTACCTATAGCCTATAATTTAGTGATTGTAGCCCTAAAATTTAGCGATAAGTAGCCTATAATTATAGGGCTTCCTTTTCCTCGCGAGTCGCATGCCTTGAAGCTCGCTTTTCGATTTTCGATTTTTGCTTTTTGCTTTTCGCTTTTCGCTTTCCACTTTTCAAATTTCTTTCACTTTTCACTTTTCACTCGCCCTCCATCTCCTCCCCCCCTCCCCCCCACCCCCACCCCCATCCCCATCTACCCCTCTCTCACCCCTCTCTCGTATATATATAAATAAGAATTAAAAAGAGAGTAATATTTTAAGTAGTAATAATAAGTAGAGGCACAGGAAGAGAGGGCATAATATGTAGGCGATTTTTGGTTAGGTGCGCACGTGCCACAAATCAGACATTGAAGGTCGAAAACCAGATTCGAAAATCGCTTGGTCTTCTGATCCTTATGGCTTTCCGTAGTTTTCCGTCTTGAGCTAGAAATGACAACTCCACCACAGGAAGAATGTTTTATCCGGCCAATAATATGCGCCAGAAGCTCGGGACGAATCTAGACCATGTTCAGCAGTTAACTGTATTTGTAACTTGGTAGCGCAAAGCCTCCACGGCTTCACTTAGCAGATCCTTATCGGTTCCCGCTAGGGGAATCATGTTTCTCTTTCGGGCTTGGTGGCCTCGCCACGGGCTCCAGGGCATCCAAGGATTCGGCTTCCACGTCGAGTAAATCTGGAAAGAGTTCATAGACCATATCATTGTACGTTCCGTACGAAGCATCGTGGTAGAATGTTGAAGAATTATCCAAAGGTGGGGGCTGCTCAGTCATCGCGTGTTGGTGGGGAGTTTTTTGAGGCGAGGAACAGTAAGAACACTTTCTTTCTAGGCTATGGCGCTTTCGCGTGGTGGAACGGCGAAACTACGATTGGTCAGTCTTGGGAGCGTCTCCCACTTGATCGAGGCGCGGTCGAAGGAGCCTGGATGTGCAGGCCTGCAGCTGCCACCAAAACTGCACTTTCATTTTTGAGGCGACACAATCGACGTGACCATGATATGCACAATACAGACTCAGACTCAGACCGACTGATTTCCTCGGCATTTCAATTATGTTCATAAAACCTCATTTTCGCATCAACCCATCTTCGGGTCCTCTTCTCACTTAACCTGTCTGCCGGCGGCACCTCTCGTGTACAACTTGACCACAGCCTCGTCCATTCTCTCTCCGACAACCCGCCTTCACGCACCTTACACATCTTTCTGAAGACTAAGAAACATCATAATGGCCTTCAATTGGGCAGAGGTGAAGGCTGAGATTGAAAGGCTGTACATGAAAGAAGGGAAATCTCTCGAGGATGTTCGAGATATCTTGAAGACAACACGCAACTTCAATCCCTCGTGAGTAACTGCCTCACATTCTGTTTATAAGTAACGATGGCTGATATCGATAAGCCTCCGAGCTTACAAGAATAAGATCGATGAATGGGGCTTCATAAAGTATAATCGACGCCAGAAATGGGCTGCAGCTGCCCCTCTCGACCTAACCCGGGATCTTGACATTGCTCAAACCAAGGAGGCAGCTTCGGCGTTGGGTCACTGTCTCGCTCCCGACTGGGCACTGCTGACTCAAAGATATAGACTGTTAGCGGGATCAGACTCAGAAACCGTCAAAAGCAATTGGACGCAAGTCCAGCATGAGTTACAACGTCAAGCATCTGATATCAGAGAACAGCGAATCATGCTCGGCAAGGTATCCCGAAAGCGTCGCCGGCAAGACCTTGAAGCCGACACAGAAGAATTCAAGCGCTCACTGGAGAGGGTGTGAGTGTTTATTCTCTGTTGATTCCTCGTCTGGATTCTGACTGACTTCTGCAGGTCCAAACTGGAGACCTCAATCACTCAGATGAGGAGAACTCTTGACGACGTGATGACTTCAGTCAGCGTTCAGACCAGTAGGCCCAAAGGATTCGCTTCATGCTGGAAACAGGAACCTATGACCTTGGAAGACGCTCATGGGAAACTTATACCGCTTCCTATCGAGCTGGTGGTTTCGTGGGAGGTAAGGTTTCTAGCTGCATAACCAAACCTGGATGTTGATTTTTACAGATGTTTGATATTATCCTCCTCGGCCATTTTCATTTTCAGGCTCTCGTTGGTGAGAAGAAAGTCCAGAAACGAGAATTCGAAATTGAAGATTCCACAACCCGAGACCCACTGACCAGAAAACGGCCTTGGCCCACATTTTCCAAGCCCGGACGGAAGATTGATATGAGTATGATCTTTAAAGATTCTGGTAAGACCAGTGTTGTATGCCCGAAGTGTGACACGATAACCAAAGAGAAGAAAGGAGTGCTTGTCGAATGGTGAATATTTCTTCCACCCGCGATTTGGGTTGAAGCTAACGAGAATAGTCCAAACCCAGATTGCAAGATGCTGTTCCGGACTGAGGACGACGAAGATAACGATAATTTATCTAAGCCACCCAGGCTACTTAAAGGGAGAAGCCCAATGGAGTTGCTGCCGGCGAGCTCGGAAGACCTCCGCCAGGAAGAAGCAGACGACAAACCTGGCATGTTCAAGCGTGTTATTATCCGGCTCCTCAAATACGGATCAGATTTTGCCAGCTCGGAATTTGGTGGTAACATCGATGGGTATCCGCTAAGCGACGCGTCGTCCTATATTGGCTTGCCCCAGGTCCAAATTCTGGCTAGCGAGGGTTCATCGAAACCACCGAACCTCGAGATGCCTTGGGGCTGTTTGTCTCCAAATGCACAAGCTCTGGGAGACATCCGCTGACTCTGCCGCAGATTCCTTCGACAATGCTAGCTCTAACTTCCCCTTCCCTTCACCAGGTCCCTCTATACTCGATGACGACGAATCCAAATTTCTAGATAGCTTCTTCGATGGCGTGAGCTCGGATCAATTCAATTATGACTCTTTCAGCAACCCTCCAGACGGCTCCGAGCTTGGCCTTGGATGGGAGGAGCTACCCCCGACGTTTATGGGAACAACTTCTTCGTTTGGCCAACAGCCTCAACCTGGTAATCATGGATTCTCGGATATGAACTTTGGCAATATGAACATGCAGATGCACGCCGGCCCTTCAATACTTCCCGCCACATCCGCCGACGTTCTGGCAGCAGCTACGCTATTACAAAGCGGACCACGTGGTAGATCAATGAGTTTGCAGGATGGCATGTTTCGTGAGGATATTCCAGGACTAACAAACGGCCAAGTGAGGCATCAATCGATAACTCAACAAACACCTCGATCCCAAGCAGGCTTTCAGCAACGTTTACCTCCTGACGATGTCATCCCAGATACTTTCTATACGGACATGATGTTTGGACCTCAGAGCAGTTCATGAATGCGTCATCGCGGAGTGAGCCAAAAAGCCGATCTTCGTTGGGGATCTGATCCAAGCTTTGCTCAAGGCTTCCTTCCTCCTGACTATCAGGAAAATGTGATGGCTACGGAAAGGTCACATATTAGGGCGGCTGAGGACGCATTTTCACTCAAAGTTACTTACATACCGAGAAGGGCCAACACCACCCAACCTTCAAGTGGCGGCCCGTCACCTCATCAGAGTGGCTGATAAGCCAGTCAGTCAGCCATCAGCTGAGAATATATTTCAGCTGAATGGCAAAAGACAAGCCAAGGGACTTCAAATCGTCATTCAAAAGGGGTTTAGGCTCTTCAGCCTGGGATTCGTGGTGGTAGTAGGCACACTCAGACGGGGTGGATGATGGTTCAGAATCACTAGGAAGAGTGATAAGCTGCGTTTTTCGTATGATGATGTGAATGGAATAATTGTGGTAGAGTAGAAACTGCGAAAACTTTGACTGTCTCTCTCCCCTTGCCAAAGACCCGACTGCCTTGCGGTACGGATCAGTCCCTTCCAAACCTAGCTCCATACGTTTGAACCGACGCGTATAGCCCGGACACGTCGTCTTCGGCGGCTGGTTGACGCTGCCTTCATCACTGGCCCGTATTCTCGCGTCCCTCACACTTGCACCACCAGGCCATAGTCTCCCGTGATCCACCGGCCTATTGTTGCGCCAGCGTTGTGACAAATCGCTCCGGCTCTTTGTGAATATCGAACTTCTCGGAGTTGTACGGTCCAGATCTGTCGAATACCCAGAGCCGCATCATACTTCCGCAGATCGTAAACCCAGGCACGAATCGCCGCTCCGGTTGACTTCCAAACACTTCGCGTACATACCCTGCCAACTGCACCAGTGTTTTTGCAGATCGATCCTCATCAGGATTCTGTTTGTGTTCTCCAATGACAAGTACATTGGACCAGTCGTGCTCGCCGTCCGGTAAGGCAGCGTCGGCGGGGGTGAGGAAAATGTCAAGCTTGCGATCAGCCTCCGAGCCCCTCAACACTTTGTTCGCTGATGTGTAAGGTTAGTATTTGCGGCGAAGTCCGCTGAGAACCGTGTCCTGAAACTTCATGAACCACTCAAACAAAAGACCTTGGAGTGAAGGTTCTGGCCACCCGCTCCAGCTACCCTCCGCATATTGAGCTCTCGAATCTTCGTAGATGTCCCTAGCGTTGTTTGTCCATGACTTGCCTTCGAAGTATCGCTCGTAGGAACCTCCCACATCGTAGTAGACTCGCCCGGTAAGTCCACATCACGGGTCGCTACCTGTGGTGCAACATCCACTCTGCTCGCCGTTCAGCCGCCCGATTGATTGGCATTGCTGGACACGTAGCCGCTCAAGCTCTGTATACCTACTTGTCCCTCGGCATCTGTTCCCGCACCCAGAAAATTCAAGTCTGAGCTTGCCTTGGGCGGATCTCTTGTAAGCGGCGAAAGGGTTGCGCCTGAAGAGGACCTTGAGCTTTCTCGATACGGTACTGAGAGGCACCTGCAAATATATTCCTATTTTTTTGCCCCCTCGGTTATTGTTTTAGAGTGGTTCGTAATGTGAGGGCGGGAGGAGCTTGGGTGGGAATTCGGGTAACTGGTAATGGTAATATATCTGGCAAGACAGGGAAGGTACTATTTTCGTAGTATATATTAATAGTTATCCGCTCCTTAATATTGAGAGTTACCATTTTGGCCAAATCGCCTCCCTTGCGGCATGTATAAGCAAGTCTCTTATACTACTCTCCAGATATACAGATACAGTTCGTCAGGTCAGGTAATTAGTCCAGGGCCAAACCAGTTAATATTTCATATATAATAACCCCTAGTAACTAGATATTAATTCGGAAGTCTTATAGGGTACCAGAATATACCTTAGGTACCTAGTAGAGTAGAATTCCAATAAATGTAGCTGTGAGGCACGTAATAGCAGGGTGATGCACAAGTAGTCAAGGTAAGTAAGCTGCGGAGTGACGCTTGCAAGTGTAACTGATTCCAAGAATTGATTCCAACAAAAGACTAATTGATGCCCCTTTCTAAAGCTAGGAGCGTCTCCCTATATGTTTCCTAGTGCTTAGCCAAGCCTGCGAAGCACTTTACTTAACTAGGAAACACGATCCCATGCGATCCGTATAATTCCGATCGCCCGTATAATTCCGATCGCCCGTATAATTCCGATCGCCCGTATAATTCCGATCGCCCGTATAATTCCGATCGCAAGCTTTATCTAAAATAGGAAACTAGATCTATAATATCTAATACCTGTCCATGCGCCATTACGTATGCCCATTATATTAACCTCCCCTCTGGGCTCTTGTTCCCAAGAGGCCTAAGGGAACTGCGAATAGCTTTATAAATAATCCCCTGAAACTTTTCCGGCCATTGGTCCTCCCCAAAGACTCCCTATAATTGCCCCATTATTACGCCAGGTAATAGACTTGAGGATATAATTCACTAACCCTGCCTAGCTAACCCGCAAATTGCCTTTGGCAATTCCCCCTTGCAAAGGTAGTACGGATATAGTATATACTATTAGACAGGAAGCTCTTCCGGTCTTCTGATTAGTTTGTAAATCCCAACTTAGCTTCTATTCGCGAATAAATCGTTACTCTATAGGCCTAAGAGCTTGGAAAAGTTAATCTGATCTTCTGGTTCGTTTGTGAATCCCTTCTTTGGAATTTTCTGGGTATTTCTGGCATAGAACTAGTTCCGAATTCGTAATTACTATTCGGGGAAAGGGTATTATAAAAAGGTCTCTCTTTTCCTACTAACTAACCTTTCCTTTCTTTAACTATAATACCATACCTAGCTTCTCCTTATCCCTTGCCTTCTTTCTTTAAGCCTTCTTTAAGCTCCTTTAAGCTTTATTTAAGCTTTATTTAAGTTCCCTTCTAATTCCTTCTTTTACTTCTTTATCTATTAAGATAAATATTTCTCTTAATATTTATTAGCCTATTACTATCTATTTAGCTAATACTCTTATATTCTTAATTCGCCCTTATTATCTTTAATATTCTAAGAATATTACTAAGTTTCCTGACCTTACTTATATTAAGAGTAATAATTACTTAGTATATAATTATTATTACTTTAAGAATAAGAAGTATAATTTTATAAGTTATAATTTCCTTTATTTATTTCTTATTCTAATATTATTTAAGATTCCTCAAGTATATATAATATAATTAAACTGCCTTCTTTAAGCTATTAATATATATAAGCGTTTTTCTTATCTTTTACCTAAAAGGAAAAAGGCTATTACTATTCTTCTTTTATACTAAATAATATATACTTCTTATATTAAAGCTATTATTTGAGACTAATAAATTCCTCTAATAATCCAAGAAATAGATTAAGTAATTCTTATTAGCTTAATATAAGTATAAAGTACTTTTAATAATATAATTAATATTCTTTAGTATTAAGTAAGCTTATTTTTTTCTTATTTCTTACTAATAGCTAATAGCTTTATAAGCTAATTTATTATTTATTTCTTAAGAGAATCCTAATAAAAATAATAATAAGAATAGTAAAAAGTAATTATAAGAATAAGGTATTTATAAGATATAGAAATTAGAGTTTTTAAAGTTCTTAATAATTTTTATATAGTTTTTTTAAAAATAAATATATAGTTTTTTTAATAGTTTTCTAATAAAAGTATTTATTTTTTATATTTCTATTTAGCTAATAGTATTATAATATTACTCTTTTCTAAGTATTCTTATAATTCTTGAGCTATATTCTCTAGATTACTTAGTAATTCTTATATATTATTTACTAGTAAGTAGTTCTTTTAATAAATAAAATTCTTTTTTTCTTTTTTGCTTTTTTTATAGGCTATAATAGATTTTATCTTAAATTCTTCTTTACTCTTAATTCTAACTAGTTCTGGTTCTATTATAGTACTAGCTTGCGGGTATTATAGTTCTAAGAGAAAAATATGGAAAATATTATAAATTTAATATAATAGTAGTAATTTCAAGTAATATATTTATTTATATATTTATATAATTTCTAGAACTTTAAAAAAGCCAAGATATTTATTTACTAGCTTTATACTAGGTTATAGTTATTAAATATTCTTTATATAAAGTATAACTTTATTATATATATTAAATTTCTTATTAATATATTTCTTATTATAGTACTTTTTCTATATATTTATTATTTCTTGCTATTACTTCTCTAGTACCTTCCGTTTTATTTAAATTCTCTATATTCTTTCCTATATTACTAGTACCTCTTTTTCTGAAATATTATCCTTAATATATAGTTTAATACTAGAATAGAATTTATATAATATATAAAATAAAGAAATTCCTATTATTAAATATATAGAGTTATTATATATGAATTTTATAAAAGCAAGCTTTATTATCTAATTATCTTACTAGTAGCTAGAATAATACCTTAAGTATTATTCCAGAGTTTGATTTAGATTTTCTATTTATTTATTAGTTTATAAATAAAATACTATACTTAGCTATTATTAAACTTTTAAGTAGAAATATAAACTTAACTAGAACTTATTTATAAAAATAGATTCTTTATTAGAGATTATACCTGCAGGTATATTAAAGTCTTTAATAATATAATATATAAATAGCTTTACTAACTCAGGAGCTGAGATTTCCTTAGTAATTAGAATATATTATACTATTTTTATATATTTATTAATAATAATAAGTATAGAATTATATATCTTATTATAAAACCTAGAAAGAAATAGCCCCGTAATAAAGTTTATAGTAATTTCTTATTATAGCTTAGAAAAAAAAAGAAAAAAACTAAATATACTATATAATAGATATTTTTTTATTTTAGTTTATTAATATATAAGGCAAGTTCTAATATAGTTTTTTATATTCTTTTTTATACTTTACTAGAAGTATTTTTTCTAGAGAATCTCTAATATCTTACTAGTACTAAAATACCTATTCATGAAATTATTATAATTAGCTTATAGTAATTCTTTTTTGAGAGCTAGCTTATTTAGTATATAGATAGTACTCTAATATCTTAATAATCCAGATATATTAAGTTTCTAAGTCTTAATAGTTCTAGTAAAAGTTCTTTTTAAGAATTATTTATATTACTAGTATTATATTAATAAATCGAGCCTTTAGTACTATAATAGTAGTTTAAGTAATATTTTTCTGCTTTCCTTATATACTATTTCGGACCTAGCTACTTATATAGCTAGAATTCGTAATATGTATTATTTATAACTAGCTATACTAGTAATAGGCTCAAGTAATAATATCTCTAGTATTATTCTATTACTAAAATAAACTTCTTTTTCGGAATTCCTTAGTATCTTACTAATTAAGAAATACCTATTTCCTCTTTTCTAGGCCTTGAATTATAGTATTATAGGAATAGTATAATATCCTATTACTACTATTTATAGGGCTTTCTATTTTATATTTTATAGCTTATTATAAAATATAAGTAATAAAGTATTTTTATTTATATCTACTATAAAGTCTGGCTTTCTTAATAGCCTATTAGTAGGGTTATTATATCCTGGCTAGTACTTTAAGATAAAGTCGAAAATAGCTAGCTTCTCTGCTTATCTTATTTATTAATTATTTAGTTTTCTCTTAATTATAAAGTATTTTAAGTTATTATAATTTGTCTTAATAATAATAATATATTAGATATATATTAGGTAATATTACTAAATATAAAATACTAGAATAATAACTAAAAGCTCAGAATTATATATCTTATACCTATTCTTAATTATAGTTATTTTTTTAAATAAAAAGTAATAGAATATTACCTGGCTTTTACTCTCTTACTAAAGAGCTAGGAAATTATATCTATAATTATAAATCCTAAAGTATTTATTTTTATATAAATCTTTAAGGCTAGATTAAAATAATAAAGAATTAGTACTATTATAAATATAATTTATAGCTTCTTAAATGCCCTATTTACCTTATTTATCTAACTAAAATAATATTATGAGTTTTTACTAGTTTTTAATAAATTAGTTAATTCTTTTATTACCCTAGAGTATTTATAAATAAACCTCTAGTAGAAGTTAATAAAACCCAGAAATACTTGAACTTCTCGGATATTATTCTTTAAAGCCGGCTATTTCCTAATAGCTATAACCCTATTAGCTTCTATTTCTATACTATCTAGGCTAATTATAAATTCCAGGAACTTTATTTTCTCTATATTAAACTCGTATTTTACTAAGTTTATAAAAAGCTAATATTATTATAATTACTCGAATATATATTAGAT